TAAAGAATTGGGTCTTTGATGAGATGACCATTGATAGCATGGGAATTGACAAGTTGTTCCTTGATGAGCTGGGTCGATCTGATTTCCCTACCTTACCGGTAATGAGTAGAGACTATTCCTATTTTCATGTGTCATCATGTGCAATGATGGAACGACAAAGCTGACTGAGTAAATTCTGCGAACAATACGTTTGGGTAATGAAAAAATTATCGAATATTTGTAGAAGTACCCCAATATCTACCTATAAAAATCAAGTACTCCCATTTGTGTATTAAGTCATTGATAAACTGTGGAATGAGTAGAAGTAGTAGTAGTATTTATACTTAGTTGTATGTACATACCAACTGACTATTAACCTCACGACAGGTCCTTCAGCCATTGTGTGTGTTTGTTACTAACTCCATACGCCACCTCAAGAGCAGCACGAATAATTTGAACGCAACAACGAATCCTGCGGAATCAGCTCCGGCCAAGGCTACGAAAATTGGATTTTTTTAACTCGTTTTATGAATAAAAATTATCTGCTCTGTCGGGAATCGAACCTAGCAACCTCTGTGAAATGAATACCTACTATATTATGGAATTCTCATGTCATGAACTGTGTTTGTCGCCAAACTCTTCCGAAACGGCCCGACCGAATCTCATGAACATTTTTGTGCATATCTGATAGGTCTGGGAATCGGTCGTAAGCTATTTATTGAATGTAAAATTCAACTTTTTTTTCGTTGTATTTTTTTTGTATATCGCTACTTCAAAGTTGGGAACCAACTCCCCAGAAGTCGAAACTTGTGCGAGGTTAGGAAGCGCGGGATCTACAGCTTATAGTGGAATCCGAACCACTTCTAGGGCATCGAGGTGCTGCCAGGATTACAACCATGAATCACACATTTTAAAGAAAAAGGCTCAGCCGATAGCCGGATTCGAACCGACAGTACCTCTGCATCGTGAACGGCTATCTAGCAAATTTCAGCGCATAGACAAACTTGGCCACGAAGCCCATTGGGTGGTTGATCATGATATTTTCTTCAGAACTTGAAAATTCAAGATGGTGGATTCGATATCGCGGACGAGATATCTAATAATGATCCTTTTTTCATTCAAAATTTGTATCTGGAACTTTTTGGGGTCGGAGAATATGGTTTTTGCGTCAAAATTTTGGAAATTCAAGATGGCGGATCCAATATACCGAACGCGCTTTGTGATAAATATTTGCTTGGGAAACTGAAGAGATAGATTGCCGAACTGAAAAGCCCTAGACAATAAAAAATTTATATAATGGAATTGTGTTGACAAATATTCTACTGAAAGAATGTTGTTTTCGAAAATGTATATGGCGAAACAACGTTTGCTGGGTCAGCTAGTTATCGTATATATTTCTCTATTATATTGCTTTCCTCACACGTTTCGGTTGAAGTCACTTCCAGAAATGTGGCATCACTGCCGGAAGTGACTAAGTTCAATATATGATGCGTATATAGAAAATTCAGCGGAGGTCACTTTGTATCTTATATATATACAAAAAACGTGAAATTTTTAAAATTCGAAATCGTTTCCCCTCTTTTGAAAAACGGGTAGATTGAGTATATATACGCATATATACGTTATTTTTCCTCGGAAAAAGTATTTCTATGACCCGGAGGTCAGGTTGCCCTCCAGTATAGCGGAAGTGACAACCCATCGGATATCAATATATATATATATATATATATATATATATATAGAGGAGAGGATTAGACGACTGTCTAAGTTAAGGATGAAACTGTCGATTTCCTTCGGGTATGCAGTCAAAGAAAAACAAAGTGTACTCTTGTTTCTGTTCAAGCTTTCGAGTCTTTATTGGCTCTTCATCAGGAACTGGAAAATGAGGTTTTGTTGAAGCTGGCTTCCATTAAGTGGGGAATAATACATGTGTAAAAGAACATTCACAACATGAAAACATCAATATTTTTGAAAGTTGATAAAAATTATTACATTATATTTGATTTTAGTCGAGAAAACTTGCAAAGCATTTTTGCTGCGGTAAATATTACAACATGGCTCGAAAGCTTGAACAGAAACAAGAGTACACTTTGTTTTTCTTTGACTGCATACCCGAAGGAAATCGACAGTTTCATCCTATATATATATATATAGGGTGAGTCATTAGTGTGGCAAAGTGAGATAACTGCTTTACTATTTGAGATAGATGAATAAAAATTTCAGAGATGATCTAGGATCATGAGCAGCACATTTCCAAATTATTTCGCTTTATACAGGGTGACTCAGAAATGCGTGGCGTATCAAAGTTATACTTTTTCTTATGGGAAACCCTGTATTTCATTGTATTTTCGCATTCTCCTTTGTGAGCTGATTTCATCATTGCATCACACTTGGGGTCTAGCGAGAATGATTACAGAGATATAGAGTGTTCAAGATCCAGATTCTTCAACTTAAGGATTTTTTTGCGTCGAAACTATTCATTATTGGTCAAAACGGCTGTCATGTTCCTATCCCAACTTTTGATTCACTATCTACTGATATTTAATTTGAACAGATACAAGAGTGATCAAAATGCTGAATCTTGAACCACCCCGTATTTGTTCCAATTAATTGTCAGTAGATAGTAAATCAAAAGTTGGGATAGGGACATGAAAGCCGTTAAGACCAATAATGAATAGTTTCGACGCAAAAAAAATACTAAAGTTGAAAAATCTCGATTTTGAACACCCTATATCTCTGTAATCAGTGGCGTACCATCAATGTCTGCCAAAATGGGTATGTGAAATTCCATACAAACGCCACTGGTGGCAACAACAAAAAATGTGGTACACTATCTGATGCCTCTTGATACACAGTACATGTATGCCACATTCCATTAGAATATCTAGACTGATTCTCGATTAGACCTTTAATCGCAGATTCGTGATTGGGTTTTTTCTCAATTCAGAATTTTTTTCCACGTCCTGTATGGTGAATATCAATTTGCCATACATCCAAAAATAAACTTGGAGTATTCAGATTCTCAAGGCCTACTATTGTTTGTTGAAGGCGTTTGAAGGGGTCAAAATTTCAAAAACAACTATCAGGCAATTATTGTTTCTTGAAGGAAGTGAACAAGCTGAAAGACTCCCATACGACGAAGCTTTGGAATATTGAAATTATTTGCCAATGAAAGTATTTCCAAGAACTAATAAACTTCAAGTTAAAAAAAAACCTACCTCTTCTCCCTATCCTCCACTTCCTATCCTCCCTGGGTACGCACGGTATTCCACGAACATTATAGGAATCTCCTTTCGTGCACTCCAAGAGATAAAATTGCCTACGGCTCGGCCTAGAATTTTGTCTACTTGTCCAAAATAACAGTATTTTCCGGACTTGTTACGTAAATTACTATTCATGACATACCTAGCTAGTGTTGCCCGCGAGAGTCTCGTTTTCGAGAGTCTCGCATGGTCTCGTCTCGTTTTCGAGACAAGACTCGAGACGAGACTAGGACAAGACGAGACGAGACTTTTATAGGTTTCGTCTCGAGTCTCGTGCAAGACTTCTCGTGTCTCGTACGAGAGTCTCGCAGGTAAATATTTCTGCGTGCCGACTGCAGACTTGAGAATTTCATTCATAATACATATTTAGGAAGAATTCAGACTATTTAGCACAGATAGACAAAACATTTCATTCATGAATACTTTGAAAACACAATCCATGATTGTTGTAAATCGACGTAATGCGTGAAACGAAAACGGACTATTTATTCTCTCTCTTACGGCGGCGAAATATAAAGGCAATTCTGCAATAACGACAGATCGCAAATTGAATGACTATACCTGAATATCTATGAATAAGTCATTCTGTGCTAAACAGTCTAAGATAAAGAATAACTTTATGTCTTAACAACTGTGTGAAAAACAAAAACATTTGTGATCATGAAGGCTGATCTGACTGATAAAGGTTTTTTCCTAGATACCTATTTCTTAAATAAGGAAAATAATGTTGGATTAAAGTTTTTGTTTTAATTATTTGTTCAGAATATACGTGTTAATATCTAATGCTATGCTTTTTTCCTGTTCAGATGTATGATGTCAGTATGTACCTATTAGGTTAGGTACCTACTTTTCAATAAATAATGTTATTTTTGTTGGAATTTTCTCTTCCTACTTCTACATTATTCCTAAAAAGTAGGTAAAGGTAAATAAACCGTACTAGACTGGAACAAGATTATGCATGACGAAATTGCGATACATTTGCGAGACTCTCGTACGAGACGCGAGACAAGACGAGACTCCAGGCTGCGAGACGAGACTCGAGACAAGACTTCATATTTCATCGGCGAAACAAGACTTTATGAAAGTCTCGTCTCGTTGGTCTCGTGTGAATCACTATACCTAGCCGAGACATTTTTTTCAATTGACTATACGGATACCAGAAGTTTCTACGTAGGTACTTTTAAAATTAACCTAGGGTCATTCACACTTATATTAGCCAAGAATCAATGACATGTTGACACAAGTGTTGACATCTCAAAATATACTGTTTCTTCATCGATAACAAAATGCGTATCATCTCATTAAAAAATAAAAATACTGTTTCAACAGTAGCTTGATAGTTTGATTATTTTGAAGCCAGTTCATTTCCTTTAGACCTTCACCGCATTATACTCTAATACAAAAATAATCGGAAAATAACGCGTGGGCGTTGATATACAAAATACCTCGCAAAATACTTTGGAGAATACGGAGGTCATATCTCGAGGTATTTGAACGCTATTCTTTTGTGATTCCGTATGAAAGAAAATAATATTTTTATCCAGAATAATGCGCCACATTTCCTGAGACGTTTATTTTCGTCTTTCTTGGGAAATATTATAAATTCATTCGCGAGAATCTCATTCATTGAAAGTCTTATCTCGTAGGTAATTCAATGATACTTTATTTTCTTGCCTTCTCCGAATAATATTCTGGATTATCGTTTTTTTTTATAGATTTCAGTGTGAAGTAGAGTCCGATAAACAAGTGCGAAGGGGAATGGTTTACCTTCTAGCCAATTGGGGAATGGGAGAAAATGGTACTGAAAAACAAAACTTTGCTAATTCCAACGGTACCCCTTACCAACGTCCAGAACAAACCGACTGTTTCAATAATGAAGTCGACTTGTTTCCATTGAATAATCAGGTAAGACTTTTGTATTGTTATAATCATTCGATAATCTACCATAATTCGATTCACTCTCATTGATGTTATAAAGGGAGACCCTGTTGCTGTGTTCTTGAAATGAACATGATTTTTTTTTTATATAATATAATCAAGAGTGAAGATCTATTTCCTCTGGAAGTACCAAGAATTTCCAATATCTAAATAACACCGAAAAAATTCAAGGGGTTATTTTTTGTGTTATTTAAGGAAATAAAGTTCATATATACATGTGCCCTAACTTGCTTCGTTTTCGAGATATAGGGTATTAATATCTCCATGAAAAATCTTTTCCCTATTCATTTCTCAATTGTCTTTTCATCAATTCCAATGAAACGTTGTGGTTTTGCTAATAGTAATATAGAGCTTCTTCTAGTGCAATTAGAGTCGAAATAATATTTCCAGTGGCGTCACAGTGGGTAAATTTATCGATATTCATGGTGAATGTCATTGTACACCCGGTTTTTCTGAGTTTCATATTTTTATTAGATTGAACTATTTAAATAACAACTTTTTTCTGCAACCGAGACAAAAGTCGTCCATTTTGATACCAAAATTAGCGCTTAAATCGCCGTTTCTATTACTGACACAAAAATAAGTATGTTGCTAAGCAACATATTTAGTTCCTAGGAGCTAAAGTTGAATTTTAGTTCCTAGGAGCTAAAGTTGAACTTTAGCTCCTAGGAACTAAAAAGGATCTACTGGACGTCATCAAGAATAAACAACATTGTGACGGTTGGTTATTTGGGTTGTGAGGCATACCTTATTTGTTTCCGATTTCAGCAGATTTGGCATTTCATACCCATGCTGGAGATATGAATACACCTTATTATAGTTTAGTATCGGAATTATAAACATCTTAGCTGAGTATTTTTGTTTGATCAGCGAAGCCATCAAGATTCAAATACTTGCTTGATCTGTATTTCATTCGTTATTCTCGCGATGGATAACTTGTTTTTGAATAATCACGGCAAGCAATAGTTTTTTGTCTTAAACAACGATATTGTTTAGCTTCATTTGATTATCAAGTCAAACACAGTGTAGTATGGAGAGGAATAAATAAAATCACTATTATCATTGTTGATATGCTCACTAACCTAACATTTTCCACGTCTTGTTCCTATAGCTGGCACTGGCGCGGTATTTGCCATTAGAGCACCTGGTCCATATACAGATATGTCACTCTGTGGTTGTATTTATATTGAAACTACAATTCGAACATTCTTGAAAACCTAACCTGCTGGTAATGCAGGTAGAATATTCCTACCACATGGATTATTTGTCAATATTTGTTGCATTGCATACATATGGCGCGGCATTGGTGGTTACTTCACATGTTTATCTGAGTTAATTGTTTCGGTTGCAGAAAAAATAGCATGTTTCATTCGAATCAAAAGTGACTTTGTTCGACTCGCAAATTTTGCCTTCGCTCGGCTTCGCTTGTCAAACAAAGTGTCACTTTTGATCCTAATGAAACAATCTACTATTTTATCCTCTGTGTGATTTTTGTATCTAGCTCAATTTTTGAGGAAACAATAAAAAAGTGTTTTCAAGACTTACATTGAGATAACTCAATAACCCCAATTAGAATCATTTTGAAATTTTGGGGCTTTCTCAGTCTCTAACCATACTGAATTTTGGCACCATGAAAGCTAATACAGGGGGGTTATAAATAACAACAATCAATACTTCCAACTTCAACATCCTGTATCTCAAAAACGGAGCAAGTTAGGACACATGTTCATATGAACTTTATTTGCTAGAATATCACCCCTTGAATTTCTATTGTGTTATTTAGATACACCCTGTATGTTTCGACCTATTTTTGGCATATGGTTCGTGTACGCACCAAAAATAATAGTCATTTAGTTTATTTTTTGTGCATACACTACTTTTCTAATGTAACATTTTCAATTTTTTCATGAATCCTGGACCTTCTATCGAAAATTTGATAATCAGTGAAGTTTTCCATACTGACATTCAATTTTTTTATAATTAATTTGACTATTGATGAGATAAACCACTAGTGCGCTCACTCTTCATTTGTTTCGTCAGACTGGTACTTGATATAAACAATTGAATTTCAGACGATGACATGGGGTTCACATATTGAGTGTTAGATGGCGTGATTCTTAGAACTTATGATCAACATCAGTTCTACCAACCTTGATGCGGCTAAAATCGCAAAATGTATTCCCTATCTTCATTCCTTCATTGGTCACAATTCGGTCACAATTGTCACATTGATGCCTGTAATTTTGGTACGGCACCAGACTAAATTTAGCGACATTCACCCACGCCATGTTATGTTCATCGAAGTAGGCGAAAATCAAGGAATTGTAAAACAGATAAGGATTGAAGTGCGTACACCAGAAGTTTATTTCATCAATATTTGACTTAATTATCATATGCGTTCGTGTGCTTTCCATAAGCAATATATTCTGCTTCGAAAAAAGAAAGCAATTTTCGATATCATCAATAAAACGAGATGAATTTGATAAGATTATTACATTCATTACTTCATTGATAAATCAATAATTTTATCTCGTATTTTCATATGCAGTCGTTGCGTTATGCGTACATACATCCATCAAAGAATGGGCGTGACCACTGACAGCGATTCACTTTACTATTAACTGTCAAATGATCCAAGAGGCCTGTTCACTTGTGCTTGCTCTATCTGCTGAACTTTATTTTTTCAATGACTTTCTCTGTTCAAACCATGCCATGAACAGAGACAACTATGGAAAAAAAACAACTTTAGCAAGTTCAGCAATACAAACGAACAGGCCTAAAGATTGTCAGGTTTGAAATTATAGTCCTGTTCGTTTGTGCTTGCTCTATCTGCTGAACTTGATTTTTTTCTTTTACTCTCTCTGTTTACATCATGCCAAGAACAGAGACAACTATGGGAAAAAAATCAACTTTAGCAAGTTCAGCAATACAAACGAAAATCCTGTTCGTTTGTGCTTGCTCTACCTGTTGAACTTGATTTGTTTCTATGACTTCCTCTGTTTACAGTGTGCCATGAACAGAGACAATTATGGGAAAAAATTAACTTTAGCAAGTTCAGCAATCAGCTCAGCAACACAAACGAACAGACCTTTAATGTTATGGTTAGGACGTTAGCAGTTTAGGCCTGTTCGTCTGTATTGCCAAACTTGTTAAAGTTTATTTTTTCCCATAGTTGTCTCTGTTGATGGCATGATGTAAACAGAGAAAGTCATAGAAAAAAATTGAGCTCAGCAGGTAGAGCAAGCACAAAAGGGTTGATATTAAAAGTGTTCGAAATCCCGATCATACAAAATTCTAAAATTCTTCGATACAAATTGAAAGTGAGTGCCTATCACGATTTTGTGTTGAGTTCCTGAATATGAAAATTATATGACATCCATGACAGCCTGTTGCTGGTAAGTTATTTAATTTTATATTTGATCAAACTACAAATAAGGAAGCGAAATACAAAATCGAAAACACAGCATATCAAGTATCCGGTGTCCAATCAACTACCGAACTACAAAATCGTGAAAGAACTGCAAGTCATCTTTCTTTCCATTCGACTTCGCGGTTACGTAAATTACTAAACAACCACTAAATTCGCAATTTTTGGAACTCAAATCACAGAATTAGACTGACAGATATTTGATTACTCCAAAAGAATGATGAAGATGCCTGCAAAAGGATGCTTACAACGCAGGTGTCATTCCTGTTAAAAACTTCAAATTTCATGTCGATAATTCTCGGATTTTAATATAATGTGATATCTTCTCAATATTGATTCGTTCTTTTGCCTGCCACAGAAAAAAATAGTGTAACACGGAAAAAATATTAGATTTTAGCTCACAGACAACACAACAAAAAAAGTTGCTGTAATAGATATTTACGTAATCAGTTAGGAAACGCGTTGTTTTGTGTAACGATGGGATTTTGCGGGACGAGCGAAGCGAGATCCCGCAACATCACAGAGTTACACAAAATGGCGTTTCCTAACGTGTCACGTACAATATTTATTGTAATTTTGACGAAACATTTCGCATGAACAAAAATAATGACCAGTTTTACATGAGTTCTGCCGACTCTTGTTGTGTGGAATGAATGAATGAAATGAACATTACATCACCAGTTATGTAAAATTTTACTTTACGCAACTGGTTACGTAAAGTAAGACGTTTCAAAACTTCCGTCAGTTTTGAAAAGTGTCACATTACATGTCAAAATTAGAAAAAAATTATTTCAATACATTCGCTCTGAGCACCTGGTATTTCCATATTTACCTTTTCGTACTTAAAAATTTACGCCCTCTTCCAATTTCGACAAAATAAATAGGAGTATGTGAACATTGTGAGATTACCGTAAGCCGCATAGGCATCAAACAATAACCAGTACTTTTCGAATAATCTTAAAAACAAATGATTTTATCGAAATTTTACAAGAGACAAAAAATACTCAAAAATGATTGAACACTTGAAGAAAAATAAATAGAAAGTCATTAGCGCACGTACAAAAAAAATATGGGGTCAAGTGTGTACTTGACCCCCAGTATTTTGAATATTTGACAGTTATTTTTTGTTTTGTTTTCCTCACACGATGTAACTCTTTGTGCTATAGTAATGTAGCAATTTTGAGATAATTATCTTATTGAATACGCGAGTAATAATATGAAGGGCTAAAATGAAAAATGGTATTTAGAAACTCATATTGTTTTTGTTCAAGGAATATATGGTTAATGGATTGACCTCCTTTTAGCGGACACCCTGTATATACTATTCCCTCCAAAAGACATAATGGCTGAAATTACATCGGAAAATCTGCCGGTCTATAAGCGTACTGCAGGGATTACTGAAGGAGATATTCTATTGTTTGGTTCATTCCATCGTGAATTTCTGCCTCGTTTTTACTTAAGACTAATGAATGTGGAATCGTCTTGGACTCTGAGTTGATTCTAATGTAGAGTATTTCAAGAATATGATATGGTACTTTCA